TCTCTATTATAAATGCAGGGTAGCCGTGAAAGCCAAAAGGTGAAGATGGGAAATACTGCACTTCACGCTCCTTCCCCACCCACCATGGGGGAATATTCCTACATTGATCTAATTGCAGGAACTGTCTGTAAACAAACGTGTTTTGAAACTCCCATATAAATAGGAATCACAACATCTTGCACCATTTTAATAAACTATGTTTTCTTTGTGTCCATCTGTCTCAAGAATGTCGGAATCAGAACATTTCCCCAGTGACAGCTTCATCCTTTAAACTCCGCAGATGAGAGAGCATGCAGAACAATCTGTGCTGAAGCAGGATTAAGAGTTACCAGGGTGACACTTTGTAGTTTGTAGGATGCTGACAATGAGCCTCTCAAAAGCACAAGACCTTCACTGGAGCTGAAGGGACCACAGAGACGCAATTTGCCTCTGCTATCACCGAAGTAGCAATGAAGATTGTAAATTCCCCCTGCCCTCCTCCTCTCTGGATCTTTGCTACTATTGCCTGTGCGTTACAGCTGACTTCCTAGGGGCAGGATGTGGCCCCTGGGACCAGGGATTTACCTTGGGAAGAGGGATGTTCCATGCCATTGCTTGTCTTGGTTGTGCCGAAGGTCTGCTGCTTCACTTTCCCTTCTGTCAGGCTCTCCCGCAGCCATCTTCAATGTCAGTGACAGCACAAAGTTGTGGCTCCACCACACTTCTTCTCACAAAGAGAAATAACAGTGGCAGCAAAAGCCTCTGAGTGTTTTTAATTTGCCCATCATTGGTAGAGCGCATCAGGTTTCTTTCCCTTTTTCTGGAGGTGCAAATTAATTCATTAAAGTCTTCAGGGAGAAGGACTCCAACGACTCATTTGCATTTCAGGTCTCCACATAACTGCATCGGTCAGGAGATTCTCAATGGCCGAGTGTTGGAACCCAGTTAACAAAATTTCAAGATCTGTTTCAGAAATGGCGCGCCCAAACTTTGCCCATTTCAGGCATTCCCTATCCTAGACCACAAATTCCTTGCCCATTTGCAGGTCCGGGCTCAGGAATTAACTACAGGCTGTTTAGCAGACATCAGCATGTACAACTTTGATGGAGAAGTAGATCCCCCAGCCTGGAAAGCTAGCCAACGTCTAGAGAGAGGTTCATGGTGGTTTTCCAAGAGAGAGAAAAGCAGAGGTTCAGTATCTACTGTGCTTTCAACAATAAAATAATAAAAATTTATGAATATAGTTGCAGCAAAAAATTAATCAAATTGTCAGTAAGAAAAGACAAGCAACTGCTAGCTTGACATTTGGCAGGACGCTCACAGTGAGCCCCAGAAAGCTCGTTTAAACCAGCCGCCCTGCTCCTGCCAGTGCAGCAGCGTTGCCCCGTGCAGTACGGTGGTTGTCAGTGCGCGCTTTACTTGGGGTTTTTAGGATAACAGTGACATCAGAGGTAGAAAAAGCCTCGTAAACCACAGGAACTTACCTCTTCCCAGAAGCATAGTGGTTTCCCTCATAGAAGAACAGCAGGTGTTAGAGTGTCACCGAGGGACTTGATTTTGACCACAAAGCCAAGAAAAAGCAAGTGTCTTTCGTAAACCTCAGCTTCTCAGTGACCTCTGACGGAGCAAATCTGCCAAGGCTAAATTGGCTGACTTTTAGGCCAAAGCCAATGATTTATCTGTGTTGGTTGGGCTCAAATCCTGGAGGCTTTATTGAGATTAGAAGGAAACTTACTCAGCGGAGAGCAAAGCAGCAGCCAAAATTTGGCCTTTCTGACAGCAGGGAGATGTGGTGCTGAGGTGGAAGGCTTCGGGCAGGGTGTGACAGAGCAGAGCAGAGGGTGCTGTGCCCAGAGCAGATTGGTGTGGTAGAGCTGTGCCCCGATCCCAGCTTTGCAGGGCTTGCGCCAAATGCCAGTCCTTTCCCTGTGTGGAGTTTGGTTAGGAGCAGTCGTGAGGAGTAAATGCAAAGGTGGGAGCTGTGAAGAGCTGGCTGCCTTACGCGAAGCAGCAAATCTCTGCAAAACTCCCAGTGCTGCAGCACTGGGTGAAATTTAAATGTGTGCATGTGTCTGAGGGAGAGAGAGAGAGAAAGAATGCCTGGGGAGATGAAAAAGGTTGAAATGAGTCACTCTTCGTCTTTTTGTCTAATTTGGTAGATAATACTGGGTGTGATGCTTCACTGCCTCCTTCCTGAGCAGCTCGTGCAGAGCCAGTTCCAGAGCAGTCAATGAGAGGACTTCTCTGGGTCCAGCCCTTATATGGTGCAAAATAAGGCAGAGGAGAATCGGGCACAGGGACGGGCCGGCTGCAGGCGCTTCTGCCGTGCGTTAAGCCCGGGAGGTGGGATGCTTTTCTGTCGTGCAAAGATTTTATGACTTGTGACACAAACTCAGGATTGGAGGCATTTCAGTGGCTTCCTCAACTGAAAAGTGGCGTTCTAAAATGGCACTTGACGCTTTGTATTAACTTAAGCCCAGCCACGGTACAGTAACAGCAGCCGAGGGATCACAAACTGAATAAATACCTCCTGGGGAACGCAGTTCCCACGGCGCAATGATGGAAAAGCAGGCTGAGCCTTAGCCGGTACGGCCCCACACCGCGGGAGGGCAGGACAAGGATGTCGCGGAAGGGGTTTCACGAGAGCGGTGCTGGCCGGTCCCGAAGCGGGGCTTTGCTCCCCAAGCGGGGCTTTGCTCTCTAAGCGGGGCTTTGCTCCCCAAGCGGGGCTTTGCTCTCTAAGCGGGGCTTTGCTCCCCAAGCGGGGCTTTGCTCTCTAAGCGGGGCTTTGCTCCCCAAGCGGGGCTTTGCTCTCTAAGCGGGGCTTTGCTCCCCAAGCGGGGCTTTGCTCTCTAAGCGGGGCTTTGCTCCCCAAGCGGGGCTTTGCTCTCTAAGCGGGGCTTTGCTCTCGAAGCGCGGCTTTGCTCTCGAAGCGGGGCTTTGCTCCGCAAGCGCGGCTTTGCTCCCCAAGCGCGGCTTTGCTCCCCAAGCGGGGCTTTGCTCTCTAAGCGGGGCTTTGCTCCCCAAGCGGGGCTTTGCTCTCTAAGCGCGGCTTTGCTCTCTAAGCGGAGCTTTGTTCCCTAAGCGGGGCTTTGCTCTCGAAGCGCGGCTTTGCTCTCGAAGCGGGGCTTTGCTCCCCAAGCGGGGCTTTGCTCTCGAAGCGGGGCTTTGCTCCCCAAGCGCGGCTTTGCTCCCCAAGCGCGGCTTTGCT